GCCATAACCTAAAACGAGGGTAATAGCCGAAGAGCAAAGAATTGCAGTACTAGGGACCACTTTAAATTTCACATATAATAATGCAACCATATCTACCACAATGTGAATTCACATGATTATAGTTAGGAGAATCCTCCACAAAAGAGACAAAAAAGGACTAAAGGACACCATTTAAGCGCAATAACAGCAACAAGTGCTATTTTTACTCAAGGTGACTTTCTGGTATCAGAATGCTTGTGCAGCATTAAGATAGAGACAATAAAGTATGTGACTATCTGAATTCAGCCAATGGATTCTGAACTAGCATTTAATTAAAATACAAATATTTAAACTCTGACAAGAAATTTCTCTCTATTAACTTCCACACAAGTTTCCATCACCATGTATACGAAGGAAACCAAATAAAAACAAAACTAAAATGAAAAACTGAACTCGACAGCCTCACACTCTTTAACAGATACATATACAAACAAAGCCATCTCATTGGTCAAGCCTTTGGGCATTCCATCTCATTTGCAGCAAAAAGGACAAATCCTCAGTAAGAAAGGGTAGGAATCAAGATCCAGCTGGATCTTCCAATACATCGGTAAAAGGAGAAAAAATTCTTCAAAAAAAGCTCTCTCCGTCAAGTAGTTTGACATTATCAAGCACTGCCCCTTCTCTCATTTGTTCTTTTAATAACCATCACGAGGCAGAAATTTCGGTAAATTGGACTGAAAGGAACCTCATTCTTCCCGAAATTAACAATCATTTTTAGTATCAACTCTTTGGCCCAATCCCAACTTCATCAGTAGTAACCAAACAGAGGGCAAATACACTATCATCTATTTCTTCTTCTGCATATCATGTCACCCTCGCTCAGCTAGTAAATAAGGAAGTCATCAAATCCACACAATTACAGAAAAAAGATGATTTGTATTCACTAATCTCAATCAAGAAATCACCAACCAACTTATCAAAATCCATTTATTTGCCAAGTAATGTGATCAATTCTTTTCATTTTTTTAATTAAAATCTAGAAGCAAAGCAACCCAATACGAGAAAAACATAAACCCCACATCATATCAACTAATTTCATCTCCAAAGAATCATAAAACAATCACAGAACACAAAAAGTTTCAATCTTTCCCAAAATTAACACAAAGCAAATAAAACCCATCGACAAAATTAGCAATTTCTATTCCTTCAAACCTCATCAGTGAATAAGCAGAGATAAATTCAAAGGCAGAGCAGCAAAAGTTACCGTTCGTTTCGGACGGCAAGGTTGAGAAGCGCGAGGAGGGAAACTTGGCGCGCATCTGGATTAGGAGAGCAGAGCATCAACACCAGCGGCGGAATCACGCCCGCCGCGCCCAGCTTCGAGCGAGTCTTGGAAGACGAGGACGAAGTGGAAGACTTTCTGACCAAGTTTCTGATATCTCTGGCGGCTTCAATCTTGGATTCGAGATCGCCATGGATAAGCTTCGAGGAGATTTCGAGTATAAGGATTTGTTTCCTTTGGTTCCATGTCTCTGCCTCCTCCTCCTTCTCTGCCACTTCTTCTCCTTCTCCCACTCCCACCGAGGTTTGCTCCTCCTCCCCCATCTCTCTCCGTACCAGCAGAGGAGTTTCTGTTTCTGTTTGGAGGAGTTTTTTCTTTTTCTTTTTATCTTTTTTTTTTTGCTTTATTATCTTTTCGGTTTTTTTCTTCTTTTTTTATTTTTAAAAATTTCTTCTCCAATGAAAATGCATTAACGAATGCTACGACTTGCAAAACCAAAGGGGTTATTTTCCCAAAAAGGAAACAATACGGATTGGAATACTTAAAATGGAGCATGGTATCGACAAACTCTTTTTTACTTTTCATATCATCTCAATTTGGTTTAAATTTTATCTCTCGAGCATTATTCTCATAAATGTATAACTTATGTTGCTAAATTTGTAATATATTAATGTATGACATATATTGCTGAATTTGATTTATTTTTTATTTTAGACAAAAATTAATAATAATCATGGTTGGATCTACTAAATAGTGTTGCGGTCAAATGTGAGCGCTGTTTCTCCACAAACCCAAATCAAAATTGCCAAAATTCAAGGGGGAAATTGCTGAAATGTGTAAGGGTTCGTTTGGATGTACTTTTAAAATAATTGAAAGTATTTTTAGATCAAATATTTTTTATTCCAAAAACACTTGAGGTGTTATCTGTAATAGGAATCAGTTATGTGTTTCTTCCGTAAAACACTTTAACTGTTTTTTCAGGATTTACTTGCATCTTAATTAAAGATTTGTTCTAAAATTATTTTCACAAAAAATATTTTCAGTCATTTTCAAAGTACATTAAGAATGATTTTTTTAGAATATTTTCCGTTGCAACTCTCTACCACAATTGTTTTGTGTCTTTTTCTGTGCAGTTGGCAGGAGTTTATTGAGGTCAAAAACCATTTCTCGTTGCCTTCTTCCCCGTCGAGCCCATTAGGATCTAAGGTTGCTACTTGCTAGAGAAGAAGGAGAAAGTGAGCCCCTTTTAGTATTCTTAATTTTATTTTCAAATTGATTTTCTTTAACAATGAATATTCATTTTTTAATTTGTTTTTTATAAACGTTGCCTAAATTATATGAGTTCCGCGACATGCACATGGGAAAATAACAGAGAAACTAGGGGTAGGCAAACGGGTACATGAACCGCGGGTCGGGGTGGGTAATCAAGGTTCGGGACGGGTACGGGGCGAGTACGGGACGGGTTCAAAAATTATAAATACAAAACAGGACGGGGCGGGGCGGGACGGGTACAGGTAAATAACGGGACAGGCCGGTTCTAGAAATTGGAAAAAATGGCCCCCGGCCCGGACCGTTGATTTCCATCTTGATTTCCTTCGTTGATTTCCTACCGTTGATTTCACCCTCTCTCTCTTATTCTTGTTCGGGACTCCCAAGACTCCATTCCATTCTCAGACCCAATTCACTGAATCTCTCCCATCTCCAGATCTCTTTTCCTCTCTCGCCGCCACCATCATTATCAGACCTCTTTCTCTCCTCCTAATTCGCTCTTGTCTTCCTCGCTCCATCCACTACCAACATCATCAGGCCTCGATCTCTGGCGACACTTTGTTTGGCGCTGATCTCTGGCGACGCTTTGTGGTGCGCCGATGACAGGGTCGTCGATGAGTTCGTGATGGAGCAACCAATCCTGTTGTACCTATTCGTGTTTGTCGTTGACAAAGGGTTTGGGTGGTTCTTTCAGTTGTGGCTCTGAGAATGGTGAGGTACACGAGCGCCACATCAAACATCATACACGACTGCGACAAGGTCTTCAACTATTGGGAGCCTCTCCATTTCCTTCTCTACAAATCTGGTTTCCAAACTTGGGAATACAGGTTCCCTTTTCAATTCTCTTTCTTTTTCCTCTCTGAAAAATTGAAACTTTGTTCTGTTTTTTAGGTGTTTTGTTTCTGGGTTTTGATTGTTTGTTATTTTCTGGGTTGTTTTTATTTTGTTTGTTATGAAATTATTTGTCCTTTTGGTTATTTGAAGTTTATTTGATATTAAGATGTTAATATAATGCTATGTTTGGTTATAATTTGTAGAGAACTATTAAGCTCTGGATTTAATTTATTGGGGAAGTTGGTTGTCGTCGAAAAGTTTAGTGCTTGTTAACATACAAGATTTTGTAGAGCATTGCAGCTCATGAACTAATTGCAGCCTTCAAATGAACCTATGTGATTTACTTCGTCACGGTAATTTAAAAAAAAAAACAAAAACATAGAGGACCTGTGTACCTGGCCCGAATCGGCCCGTTTGAAACGGGTCGGGTTAAGTCCGGTTCCAGTGATCAGATTTGCAATACCCGGCCCAGCTTGTCCCGTTTTCTTTTTAAGCAGGTCCGGTCCTGTCCCTCCAAATTTGGGCCCGACCCGTGCCCACCCCTAAGAGAAACTAACAAAAATTAAAACAAATGTATGATATTGAAATAAAATAATAAGTAAATGTATGAGATTAAAATATTTTAAAAATGTATAAAATTGCAGTTGAACACAACAAACCTAAAGAAGGGCAAAATGTAATTAACCTCTTTTTATAGTTTTTTTTTTAATTTTCAAATATTAGGTTTTTATTTAGCTTTTTCACGTGGCATCATATCATTGGCCTTATAAGTCCCCACACACATGCCACGTCAGCATGCAAACATAAAAGTTAACGGAGTTGGAAGGAAGGGATGAATTGATGTGTAGACCAAACCATGGAGGATGACATTGATGAGTTTGAATTATAAAGAACTAAAAGTCTGACTTTTGAATACACAAGGGACCATAAAAAAATGAAGACTGACCACAACGTTTTACCATCGATGTGCATGTAAACCATGCAATCAATGAGTCATTCTAAAGTGGTTCGAATCCACCAACTAGATTCATTAAAATTCTTCAATGTATGTCTAATTGTTAAATTCAGCAATATATGTCGATACATTATTGTATTGCAAAATTTTCACACAATCAATACCATTTGAATTGATGCCCAACTACTAGTGGAGTTTTTATCATTAATATCTCTATAACAAATGAAATTTTTGGTTGATGCTATCATCATTTTTTCTTCAAAAATCCAAACTACTCAATAGTACAAAACATGGAGGGTCAAAATTGAATCAGGGAACTATTATTTTTCTCAACTTGTCAATCTAATTGATAAAAGTCAGACTACCTAATAGTTCGGATTATTGAAGACGAACCCCATAAGGCATTTAGTGCTGAGTCATGTAAAAATGGTACTTACGCAAAAGACATAGGGAATTTGTACATTCTATGTCTTATGCTACATATGCCCTTGTTGGATGCTCAAATGATTCTCTCTTGTTAAAGAGGACCAAAACAAAATGGCAAGGAAAAGGTTAAATTGTAAAAAAATATGCTTTCTTCAGAAAAACCTATGTTATTAGAGATTATCATATAAGTAGATCATACTAATTGATTTTATGTTGTATACATAAGTTCTCAACAAACATCATACCATTCAAATAAATTCACATAAAATGCATTAAAAAAGTTCAAGACGACTCCAAACTCAAATTAGAAAGCACACAAAAACATGTAATTTCTTCTCTTTGATATAACAGCTATTGTCCATGTGACCTGAACTCAGATCTATTAGACGAAACGGCTGCGGTTGAGACATCCAAACGAGGCTTAAAGCTCTAAGCTTTGAGAATGATTTTTTTAGAATATTTCCATTGCAGCTCTCTTCTCTACCACAATTGTTTTGTAATATTTCCATTGCAGCTCTCTACCACAATTGTTTTGTGTCTTTTTCTGTGCAGTTGGAAGGAGTTTATTGAGGTCAAAAACCATTTCTCGTTGCCTTCTTCCCTATCGAGCCCATTAGGATCTAAAGTTGCTACTTGCTAGAGAAGAAGGAGAAAGTGGGCCCCTTTTAGTATTCTTAATTATATTTTCAAATTGATTTTCTTTAACAATGAATGTTCATTTTTTAATAAGAAAACTAATGAAAAATACTTGAAAACTTTTAGTTTTAACGATAAGGACAAAATAAAGAGTAAAGTGAATAGTAACAGGATTGACTTTTTAGTGTAAAAATGTGGTTTTTCGTTAAAGTGAATAGTATTGTGGGCTTTTCGTTAAAACTCCATTTTTTAATTTATTTTTTGGGGCTTTTAGATCCAAGTAAAAATGTCACAACCCGTCCCGGGATTTCTTATATCAGGGACGTGAAATGACGAAATCACCCTTGACGGGTATTAAGGTATGTGTGTGTGTGACATTATTTAGACTCAAATTTCATAAACTTTGGAAATAACTTATGTGGGGTATAATTTTTGTGGTTAAGGAATTAGGAAAAGAAATGGATGGTGAGGATTTGTGATGGAACACACACACACACACTTCCTTCTCTCTCTCCCTCCCCTATGTCTCTCTCTCCTCCCTCACAGCTTTCTCTCTCTCTCCCTCTCGAAGTGTACGAACAAGGGCCAACACCCTCGAATCTTCACGGATCGAAGTCAATAAGGTGAGATTCTTCACCCTTTCGACCCCCTGAATCGTTTAGTAATGGTTTTAAGATGTGAAACCCTCATAATCGTCGTGAAACCCTAACCCCGAAAATGTGCATTGTTCATGCACACGTAAAATCTTGCATTTCAGGGAATTTCAAGCTCACAGTGAGCTTAAGGAGATCCTCACGAGCTTCGGGATACTTCGTTGGTAGAATTTGGACGTCGGAGGACGGAGAACGAAGCCTTTCAAATTTGGCCGGATTATCGAACTTCCTCAGGTAAAATCTAGTGGATTTTAGACCTTGAAACTAGTCTATCGTGATTCTACATGTTGAGGGCTTCAAATTGATATAAAATACGAAGAAAACGGTTGAGAAACGACGGAGAACAAGGGGATTGAAAAATCCTCAGTTTTCCGGCCACCGGAAAAACCAGTCTGGCGAGCCAAGGTAGGAGACGCACGTGGGGGCGCGTGAACCCGTGCCCTTCCCGGCACGTGGGGGCGTGTGCCACGTTAGAAAAAAATTTCTAAAAATTTATCGACGTCCGTGACGTCGAGTAGGTCAATGTGGTATATTCATATACCCAAATTGAGCATCGTATGAGAAGTTATTTCGAATCGTCGGTTATGTGCATTAATTAACGTTTTTATAGTTCTTTCGCATATAGGTGACACCTATCCCGAGGACGAGCGCATCCAAGGACGTCACGGGGGTTACGACCCATCGACTTACCAGTGAGTGGGCAGTTTTGTTTTCGTATTACCTATATACTATTAATTCTCCCAGAAATTTAATTTACATGAAAGTATGTTTCAATTGCCATGCATGCATATTATGAATATTATGGATTGATGTTAATACATATATATGTGTGAATTGGTACTGTGGACGCACAGGTGAGTATCAGGTGAGTTTTATGGAAATCATGTGAATCATCGATAATGTGAATTGTGTTGAGAACTCATAATTTGCACCCTTGATGTTAATGCTCATATTATTCACCGCACCGCACGCTCACCTTGGATGTGCATGTCGTACAGACCATGTGAGGGTTCCGACATGCTAGTCGTACAAACCACTGAGGTGGTTCCGACTAGTAGGTGACTTTCGATTATATGCGCAGATCATTGATGAGAGGAGCACTAGAGCGTATTATTTTACTATCTTAGTCGTACAGACTACTATATGTAGTTCCGACTTATGTGCAGCGTGGTGCCGTACAGGTCACAATTGGTGACTCCGGCAGGGCCGTACAGGTCATAGTTGGTGACTCCGGCTGGATGGGATATTAAGCTATGGTATCAGCCGTACATGACCATTGTAGGGTCTCCGGTTGATTTATTATTTTCACCTGACTTATATTGATGCATTCATATTATATTTTGGCATATGACATGGCATGACATATTCTTTCTGAAAAGCGTTGAAGGATTGTGATTTGAACTTTTGATGATATATATATGTTTATATACTATTTTTCTGGGAAGGTATACAGGTTTTACAGTGAGGGGTTAGAAGTGTTTTAAATAAATGTTTTGGAAAGCTTTGGTTTACTGACCCACTCAATTTTGTTTTGCGCCCCTCCAGATTCTAGCTAGCAGTTGGCGGCTCACGAGGTTCTTTTCGGCATTCTGATAGACACCCTGCATGTAGGACTCACCTGCAGGTGTTATAATTTAACTATAGTCCTACTTGACTGCACCTAGTACCTTCGCTCTGAATTGTGCGTTTACTTTATAACTCGCTCTAGTATGCTAGTTGAATATTTCTGTTAGTAGTTGGTTTTTATTTCTTTGTATGTCTTAATTCCTTTGCTTCCGTATCGCACTTATGGTTACGTCACGCTCACGTGGCGGCCAGCACGCCCTGATTTCATGATTGGGGTGTGTCAAAAAAAACATAGAGTATTTTAAGAGTGAGTCCAGTTATTTAATTATATGCTTTTATTTCTTTTATACTCATTTTATATCTTCTAAAATATTAAAAATCAATTAAAATCTTCATAAAAAATCTTTTAATATTATGCATTTTCCAACTCCAAAATATCTAATTAATATCTTATAACAAAAAAAAAATTAATATACTAACATAAATCTATTTGCAAAACATTCTACCCTAACTCAAGTAGCAAATATATGAATGTATATTATACCTATAAGTGAGATATGAAACCTAACTAAAAGGTAGAAAAAAACATAATATACTTACAAGCAAGACACATTAATCTGTAACATGTTCACTATGAAAAAGAATATGTCATATAGGTAGATAAATACAATTAACCTGTAATATATGTTGATTATAAAAATTAAAATAAAATCAATAAATGGGTTAAAGCAGGAGGAATAAGAAGAAATAACAAACAAATAAATAAAAAGAAATAATCAAAGAGATAATTAGGAATAAATTTTATTTTTATAATAAATTTTTCATTGAAGTGATAATTATTGATAATAAAATAATTAAATTTAAGGAATTGGACTTATTTTAATAAATTGGACTATTCCTACTATTGGCTCAAAACAATGGACTTATATCAAGTTTCCCCTTGTTTTTTTATATACGTTGCCCAAATTATGAGAGTCCCGTGAAGTGCACATGGTCAAATAACAAATAAACTAACAGAAATTAAAATGGATGCATGATATTAAAATGAAATAATAAGTAAATGTATGAGCTTAAAATATTTTAAAGATGTTGTGTGAAATTGCAGTTGAACACAAACTTGAAAGAAGGGCAAAATATAATTTACCTCTTTTTATAGTTTTTTTTCTTAATTTTCAAATATTAGGTTTTTATTTAGCTTTTTTACGTGGCATCATATCATTGGCTTTATAAGTCCCCACACACATGCCACGTCAGCATGCAAACATAAAAGTTAACGGAGTTGGAAGGAAGGGATGAATTGATGTGTAGACCAAACCATGGAGGATGACATTGATGAGTTTGAATTATAAACAAGTCTAACTTTGGAATACATAAGGGACCATGAAAAATGAAGACTTTGACCATAACATTTTACCATCACTAGGTCTAGCGGACTAAGACCATATAGAGTCATATAGTACTCCTATACTATATCGTCCATACTACAAGGAAAAGAGATAACAGAGAACAACGAGTGTGTGAAAATCGCTAATTTTTTTGTTTATAATAGTTTTTGGTGATACCATTGACGTGCATGTAAACCATGCAATTAACAAGTCATTCTAAGTGGTTCGGATCCACCAACTAGATTCATTAGAATTCTTTAATACATATCTAATCGTTAAATTCAACAATATATGTCATACATTAATGTATTGCAAAATTTTCATGCAATTAATACCATTTGGATTGATGCTCAACTATCGAGGGAGAGTGAAATAATAAGTTGATATATCAAGGTTTGATTATCTCTGTAACAAATGAAATTTCCGGTTGATGCTATCATGCTACAAAAAATCATCTGAAAGGTCACTTATTCTTCAATAGTCCGAACTAATCTATAGTACGAAAAATGTATGATCATAACTGAAATGAGGAACTATTATTTTTCTCAACTTGTCAATCTAATTGATAAAAGTCAGACTACCCAATAGTTCGAACTATTAAAGACGAACGAAGAAGGCATTTAGTGCTCATTCATGTAAAGATGGTACTTATGCAAAAGACACATGGAATTTGTACATTCTACGTCTTATGTTACATATGCCCTTGTTGGATGCTCAAATGATCTCTCTTGTTAGAGAGGACCAAAACAAAATGGCAAGGAAAAGGTTAAATTGTCAAAAATTTGCTTTCTTCAGAAAAATATATGTTATTAGAGATTATCATATAATTAGATCATACTAATTGATTTTATGTTGTACACGTAAGTTCTCAACAAACATCATACAATTCAAATAAATTCACATAAAATGCACTAAAAAGTTTAAGACGACTCCAAACTCAAATTAGAAAACACACGAAAATATGTAATTTCTTCTCTTTGATCTAACAACTATCGTCCATGTGACCTGAACTCAGATCTCTTAGACGAAACGGTAAGCGACACGACTTACAATTAACCTGTTCTATAATTGGTTATACAAAAACAGGAGTATATCATTATGATCAAACTGTCTATGGGGAAAGGGAAGGGTAACATCACTCTTATTTCTTCACACGATCGTTCCCACGAGTTTCTGTGATTGCTGTAAATGACGGTTGCCATGTCACAGCACTTCGTACCCTTCTCTTCCCTTGATGAGATTGAGCGCTCAAGCTTTCACTCGAGCGCTCGGTTTCACCACCGTTGTGCTTGACATCAATGCCACTGAATCTCACATGTTTCTTGCCAACACTTTTCTTTCTTCTGAGAATACCACAAACAGAAGTGTCACGTAGCTCACCAGCCGCGGCACCTTGTTTCCAGCGCGAAATTGTCTCGGCTGCGGTTGAGACATCCATGGAAGATTGAGATACAAAAGGGTTGACGGGAAATTCTTTGTTAGGTTTTCTCATTCTACTCCGGAGCTTCCTCACGGTTCGTTGAGGAATAAGGAGTATTTTCTCACCGGGCGTGAGGATCTCATCAGGCTTAACTACCGAATCCCAGGGCCGCCTAAAAACCTCAGGCCTAGCCAGCAAGAAAGAGGGGTGCTTCTCCAATATCTTGGCGGCCGGAGTAGCCATGTAGTACCTCTCAACACGTCCGCCGACATGGACAATCTTCAAGACAGAAGTACACCCCTCCTCCCCCTCCGGCTCTGCTTCTGGGGCTTGCGGCCGCCGTGAGAACGGTTTGAGTTTATGGACGTTGAGAAACTTATGGAACATGTTGGCTTGGCTATTATTCTACAGAGTCAGACATTGATCCTGCAGTCCAGCACAGAAACACTTGGCTTCCCTTTAAAGCAATTGACATCGATGAATACAAGAACTCAGTTTTGCGCCCCGATTGGGCAGAGTTGAAGTTAACAACGTTAAACAAATAAAAGGTCAATAGGCAGGAAAGCGAAGGATTGTCCGCTGCTGTCGGCAGGCGGCCTGCAGCTGAATTCAAGAGGCAGGCCTGTTTCAAAGAGTCACCACATCAAACTCATCGCACCAAATTGTACTCATCTGCACAGACTATCTGATCAAACCGCATCAAACTTTGGCCATCAAACTTCAGCCACTCCACCATTGAGCGCCGTTCGATCGTACCACCGATCAAGCGTGACACTGTTCAATCATCAAGCTCTTTGATGTGCAGAAACGCATCCAGACAGTCAATTCAGCATGTGAAAAATTACAAAATATGCATACAGCATGTATCAGAAAGTGAATATTCTGCACTAACATTATCTGAATTCAACTACGTATTTTTTTCTGCGAAAATATTCGACTTGCAACCGTGCAAACTATGAGAAGCACCATCAGTACCCGAGCCAGCTAATAATAATGACATGTTTGCTTCTGTTATAACAAATACAACAGTTGAATACAGATGTTTCTTGCTATCAAAATTCACTTTACAGGTAAGACAGCAGAGTGGAATGCTAAAAATTCTTCGGCAGCCTATAATCTTACCTTCCTTAAGCTATAAGACCTCAAATATAAAAGAGTAAAGAATGGAAGAGATTCTCACCACGCAACGGTAAATTCTCAGTTCAAGAACTCCAAAAAAATAAAGTAAAACGAACTGAAGGGAAGAGACCAGATAGGACTCAAAACTATGAAACGGAAAAAATGGTAACACCATAAAGCAGCACAAGAAAAAGACGACCTGCCATGCCTACCTTAACCAACTAAAATGGTCAATCTCAGTTACAGGTGGACCGCACCTTTTATGTCCTCAAAACAATCTGAAGATACTATCAGCGAATTCCTTTTTTTTTGTTTCCAAGCCTCCTTTTACGGATTTGCACTCAATCTAAGCCAACTTCGTATCCTCTTGATGCTTCTCTCCACCCAAACTAGCTGGAGTTGGATAATTTCCAAGATATTCTTCTTTTGAAGTTTACAAAATGTTTCAGTAGTTACTCGGCCAGTTCATTTGTGCATGTTGAGGCTGTTGATAAACATTGCCCCCAGGTCCCACCATGTCAACAGCCCCAGCCATGGTCTGGGGTTGTTGGAGAAGCGGATGAACTGCTGCTGCTGTTACTGCTTGTGCAGGGTGGTAGAGACCAGCAAAGGTTCCATGGCCAGCCTGCGTTGGGGTGAAAGTCATGTGCTGACCCTGAGGGGGAAGGTTGTAAAATGAACTTGTTAAGCTGGATATGTCTCGGCCAGGTGCTGCAACCCACACAGAAGATCCTTCACTCTGTAGAAGAGCAATTTGCAAATATCATGTAATGGTAATTATGGTATGGAGGGGGAAAATGGCAGGACTTGATGAACACAAAAGATGAAAAGCCAACACTCTACAATACCAAAAAAATAGTAGTACCACTTAGCGATGATGAACCTTCACAAATTCACAAGACTGGGTAAAATAAACAAATCAAAGCAAATTTCGTCTACCTATATCAAACTCAAAGAAATCTATTCACCAAAGGGAAAAGCGAGTATTCAATAAATTTGTCAAGTTAAAATAAATGAAAACAAATATATACAAAATTATAGTAAAAAATAAGTATTTTAGAGACGTGCTTTGTAAACACCTTACTGTTCCTTTCCGTCAAAATTAAATTCACTGAGTTAGCAAACGAATAAATGAAGATCAAGCTCTAATCTTTTACTGCTAGAATTTTGACATATCAAACAAGGGAAAAGATAAACACCAACCTGCTGTCCCGTGATGTATGCATTATTTTCCTTGAACTGAGATGAGGCAAGATCCTCATTAGACGTAGAGTTTCCTACCGTTGTGGGAGCACTCGGATTATAACCAGCTGGGGAAGAGCCATATGGCCCATAACCACTTGCCATTCCCATATGGGCAGAGTTCCCTGTATTAGTCCCTGTTTTGTATTGCGGCAGTGAGTATTTGACTCCTGTGGCTGCTGCTGCTGGCGGAGCTGGATACACACCACCAGCTTGAGGTTGCTGAGGAAATGCACCATTGCCCAAAAATTGGTGGATGGCTGGAGGTGGAACATAGATTGGGGAAAAGTAGTGACTGTAGGGAAAATAGTTATGAGGATAATGAGATATGTGCATCCCAGCTGGTGGTCGAAAGACAGGAACTGGCTGCTGAGTTACAGATATCGAGCTCTGAACAATCCCAGGAGCCTGTGTCACCAATGGTGTTGGGCCAGCTGCAGATAGAACCCCGCCCTGAAAATAGGCATTAAATATCATCAGAATACAGGAAGCATCTTAAGAACCAACACATGTCACCTATGTCCATCCACACATCACAGAAAGACAGTACATACATGCATAAATAACCCTACTTCATCCTATCCAAGAAAATTAGCTACTATCAAAAGAGGAAAATTTAGTACTAATCATGAGTGCCCAATGAAGAGCAAACCTCAACATATACACATTTTTGCAATATCGTTCACCAGTATATTTTAAACCCACGGTAGTTTTTCATGAGAAAAAACCAGAGTTGAATGGACTATTAATGTCAACATCAGATATTTTGGTGCTTGAGTATGCAATGCCTTTGTTCCATTCATGCTAGCATCTTTGGTTGATACTTGGTAATATGGAAAAGTTGCTATGCCTAGTAAGCAAGTAGCGGTATCAGAACAACATAATTTTAAAAATTAATAAATTAATAAGGTGTTGTTATCTGTGATTTCCTTTGGAAAGAATTATGATGTTATAAAAATATAATTTAAGGCTCACTTTCAATATGACCATGTATATTAAGATGAAATCTCTTATGCTTGGATAGGCTTCTTTATAATCTTCTCAATAAGAATTACATCTAGCAGTGAACACATATTAATCAATCAAGACAACTTGGTGCTCAAAGTTTGGAAATTGCAACTAAGTCAATTAAGAACTAATCTATAACGACTAAAGCTAGAGAGACATGGCACCGAGGAGACCTCAGATAATGCAATTACGTTACAAACCCAAAACCTCTTAACTTTGAAAAAAATGAAGCTGCTATTTGTGCAAACCTCTTGGGGAGACTGAGAACTTTGAGGCAATACTGCAACGTTCGCATTGTACTTGGTGGAAACCCCAGGAGAAGGAAATGGAGAAAGGCGGCCATCACTATCAGCACCTGAGCGGTAATATTGGGCATAATAACTTGCTGGGTCAAAGGGTGGTTGTACCTATTGACAAACACAATTAGAGCCACTATCAATTGATTGCAAAATCAAAGAAAATTCTATTTGCAAGGAATGTAAAATCATATTTCACACCAGATCAGGCAGAAAACGTTTCACATCAATCAACATGTGAACTTTAAAAGTCACTGGACATTTAATCTCGCACTCCAACTAATTGAGATCAAGGATTAGTTGAATTGAGTTCTAGACATAAGAAATTAAAGCAATGCACAAAACATAAGCAGTTACAATATGGCTATATCCAATAGTATAGGAAGCTTAGGTTTGAGAACTCACTACAAAGCTTGGAAGGCGAGAAACATCACGTGCTTGAGACTCAGAGTTTTCAAATGGTGCAAGCTGACTCCCTAAAATTGGGGGCACAAACCCAAAACTGTAGTTCGGAGAAGTATGAGCCACCGAGAACTGATGGCCCCCAGATGGCAATGCAGTGTCATGCTTAGATTCATTGTGTCCTGGGGATACACTGGATGATACATCACCCTCACCAGATGATATATTTTCGGATACTAGAGGAGGTGATTGCGGATGATCAGGATAATCACCTTCATCAGCAGTTGCCGAAGCATTTTGATTGCTGCATCCAAGAAGAAAGGAAAGCAAACAGTAATGAATTAACATCAGCACACGTTCACTACAAGATAATAATACAAAGAATATACCACACTAAAGATGGAAATGCAGGGATCAGAAACATGTTTGTTTACTGATAGTACACTATTAATGGCTAAATCCAAGCACAGGCTAAAACAAAATGATGGAAACGGGGAAAGGGATTGCTTGCAAATGAACTTTATTGGATGAATTAGGATCTGATGAAGTTTGTTGGTTTACCACTAACCCCAAAAGCTTAAGCCCTTAGAATTTGGAACAACAATTATTTTATATTCTAATATTCCCCCTCTAATATGGGACTCTTTCCCATACTAAAGTCCAACATGTGGAATTGGGATGTCGCAATTGCAGAGATTTGAACTCAAGATTTCCTACCAGGATAAGGTTTGATGCTTTACCATTATCGTGAAAAAGCTTTAGTTGGAATGGAATTGATCAACAATTTATCTCAAGCTAGGTCAAAGTTCAAACACAAGCCAATTAAAAGCGGATTGATAAATGAACATGCTCCAAATATAAAGTTCCTTGCAAATGAAATTGCAGTAAACATAAGAATCATGCCAAAGTAAAATAAATAATGATCACTACAAAGGACAAACCTTGAGGATTGTTCCTCCACAGATTCTTCAACAACCTGAGAAGTCTCGGACCGTGGTGTTGAGCTCTTATCACTCTCAGGAGCACTCACATAGCCAGTACTTATGCCAAACATAGCACCAAAACTTCCAAAACTCAACTTGGTTCTTTCAGATTCTGGAACATGGATGTGATTTGGAAGAATAACTACTTTGCGCTGAGGAAGGTGTAATTCCTCTAGCTTTCTCTGCAGTTTTGAAGTTGCTTCTTCTGAATCAAGGACTCTTGAGACCAGCTGTGACTGGGAAGGGACCTCTATAGAATTGGAAGAAAGCTCAGATGTGGGAGCAGTTCCCAGACCTTGAACAACAGCAGAATTGATTGGTTTTGGTTTCCACTCTTTGTTGGTACCAACTGCTGAAGAGAAACAAAAAATTACAAAAACAGTGCAAGTCAAAAGCTATCATAAATTATTAAGCATAGTAGAACACATCTAGTCATCAAGCGTAATTTTTCTTGAGAAAACTTGTGTACCAAGTTACAACTTAGGAATTATGTCTCCTACGTAGATTCCTGTTATGATTGATTTCACTTTTCTAGTAGTTAGAAATTCACCCTGTATCGTGACACTGATTATCTCCAAATTTACTAAAGACTGAACTGACTCTCATTTCTTTCTTTTCAAAGGAGAAATGAAACATCTAAAAGTGAATTAAGCAGTAGGGACCAAACAGAGAGACAAAACTCTATTTTGTCAAGCAGTAAACCATGGCTATCTTTCAGAAGAATGTCAGTCAACCATTCTGACCACGAATTACCTTAGTTAGGCCGATTCAGCCGTGTCAGAATCAGAAGCCAAATTAACACACACATAAGGACAAATAGTTCGAGGACAATTGTCAATGTTTAAAATGCTTCAAACAGATAAGAACAACTCCAATACTAAGCTCAGTGTATTAGTATAATGCAAAATAACATCAATAAAATAACAAAAGCAAAAGACAGGTCACCATATTTTCTTCTTTTTAGGGAGGAAGTTTGGAGGTGAAGTCTAACTTTTAATAATACCTCTAATGTTTGAAAGAGATTCATATGACCTTTCAACAATTTCAGGACACAACACATCATTATGGCAAGAAGGATATAGGATTTTAAACTATATACACACTCGCACACAAACAAATGAAACCAATATCATACCTTTTTGAGTGCCAATCAATTGTTGTGACCGGCTACTGTAATTAGATGATGGTCGACTACCTGAACCACCATGAGTTGATGTAGATGAAGAGCGTGAAAGATCAGAAAGCTGACTTTTCCCAACTCCCTGTGTCTTGCTTGCCACTTTACCTTGTGCAGGAGAGCTACCAACCTCTGAAGCTGTTATATTGTCATCCAAAAATGCTAACTCGGTTTATAATCAACAACTCAGTACTAAAGGCACGAGTACAGCAATTTGACTCACCTGGAGGATGATGGCTCCCTACTTCACGTTTAATTGTGCCCACAGAACCTGGGAGCCGTGAATCATTAGATGGCATGAGTACAGGATCTGAAGGTGAGAAACAAGCTGCCAGTGTAGATGCTGGGTTTGCCAACACTGAGCTGCTACTGGAGCTTGGTGCGGGCTGCTCCTGCAAGTCCTCATTGCCAAATTTAATGCTGGGACTTTCTTTTGCATTCACTGGGGGGAACAAACTTCCCAAATTATCCCCAACCCGTGACAAACTTATTTCAGGACCACTTCCAGCAGATAAATGGGGGGGATGCACCACACTAGGACCTCCAGAAGCCACATTGGTGGGCCCATCCACACTTCTCTCTTTATTTTTTGTCTCACGAGAGGGTGGGAAAGAGGGAGAACCACCTTTCTCGGCACCCTGACTGGGTCCATTCTCAGTTGCAGGACCAGCATTCTGCCACCACCAGCATCTGACAAGAATTATGCAGAAGACAGTTAGCTTGGACATTGGTGGCACAATAAAAGTCTAACTCTTAGACCAGTCAAGGAGCATGTAAGTAAAAATTTTGAAATCTATTAAGTGCACTTATATAATTATATTGGAGAAGAGGAAGAGATAACTTTCCCTCAATTTTCACACAACGCAAGGCTAGAGACACCAAGAAAATAAAAAGGTGTTGTTCACACAACTAGGCAACTTTCTATTGGAAGTGTTAGATTAACACAAAGCCAATAGCAGTTGGAGGAAAAGGTATCTACAGTTGTAGTCAGAAGAAAAAAACATAACATTTTATCTTAATCAACAAACACACAGAAATTTCATATAATTGAACCGAGATGCTTTGCAAGGGATATGATCCTGACACAGGATCTAACTTAAGCATCACTTACCACGTGGCATATGACGAGGTGCAAAATTCGCCCGGCCACCCCTACCCCCCCGTCCCTGCCCTCCAGGTCTCCACCGGGATTCTGCAGACTCTTTGTTGTTCAGATTCTGAATGATAGAAGACAACTAATTATTATTCAAAATAAAAAGTACCAAAAACTAACTCAGCATACTCGTATTGAAACAACATAATAAATTTTGTTAAAAAAAGGCTTGATAATAGAACATGTTAAAAATTCACGACCTTAACTACCACTTTCCCAAATTAACTGATTTGGCTGATGAAAAAACTCAAATTGTGATTATAACTTGTTACCTCTTTTCTCTTGTCGCGTTTCCTTTTAACCTCATGGAATGGATCTGCATACCAATACATAAAATTTAATTTCAGTTAAGAAAAAATAAACAGAAGGAGCAAGAACAACAAAAACGTCAAAACACAATAGCCCTTCACATAGAAGAGATAGACACAGATACCATTACACATAGTGTCACCTTCGTTTCTTAGAAGCTACTACGTAGAAAGTGCACAACAACATGCAACCATGAATACCAGAACCTAAGAGAATAATATTTGCAATAGTATGCAAAGATGACAAGTGGAACCTTCGCTTAATGTGTGTTTGAGTGTCTTTACACACACAAAAGAAATATATGAGAGAAAGGAAAATATGGGAATCCATATAGATAGAAAGACATTGCAGGTCAACAAAAACCAGAAGACAGCAAACCCAACAATCCAACAACACATATTATCGATATCAATTCCATCCATCATCATAACAAAGTCAAGCTATTTCTTGCTACATGGATCTATAACTTTGTTATTAGTTCCCCCCCGTCTGCTAAAGAAAATACTATTGAGAATCTTTTTTGGATAATTTTTGTGAAATATAATTAATACAAAAGTGCCTTCGCCCATGAGCGGTAGGTCTCGGGTTCGAGACTTGGGAGCAGCCTCCTCATAAATGGGGGTAAGGCTAGCCGACATTCACCTCTCCCAGACCCTGCGTAAAGCGGGAGCCTTGTGCACTGGGTACGACCTTTTTATAATTAATACAAAAGTGTGAGCAATAAGTTCACCCCACACATTCATCATAAACCTACATTACCTCATAGACTAGACTAGAAACCAGCTAGTCTACAATGGCCTTCCAATCTAGTCTAGTAGTAGATAACAGAGAAAGAGAAAGCCCTAAACTCTACGGATACAAATGACCCCAGTGAAGCCAAATCCAACTCTGTTCTAGGGATCCTTCGTCCAAACCCCTGAGTAGTCTTAAAAAATCCTCCAATTTCTCTTCATCCAAAGGGAGAGTAAATTTAGGAAATGACAAAGCAGATGACTTCACTGGCCGCAATGCAACTAATTTCAACATGAATGTAGCTTGCAAAAAGTTTGAACCAAAACGACAATGAATCCTAAACTTACTTTTCTTTTCACCTAAACGGAGAACATCTGTTCAGCTTCAATAAAAGTAAAAATCAAAGCTGTAGGCTTGTAGTTTACTTCTGGTCACCAAATATAAACAAAGTTTAACGTAAAATAAAGTCCCTAATTTTACCCAAATGCATCTCACTGTTGCCGTAATCACTCTGAACTGCCTGACCATGATTGCAAAGAACCAACGTAGAACCAGCTCAATCCCTTATGATTTCAGAATCCAACCAAGCCCTTATAAAAGCAGAACACAAACAGTGAAAACCCATTACAGCAAATAAAAAACACAACTGGTTTCCCACTTCCCACACAACCAAAACACAAAAATCAAATCAACCAAACAAAAAATCAAATCACCAAACCAACACGACCCAGAAGAAAAAATCAAAACTTTAACACACGGATCACAATAAATCACCAAAAGCAAAAACAAGACAATCCAAAATTAGAAAAACGAGCAAAGGAGAAGCAAAAGCAGGAAAAAAGCAATTATGGGTTACCCTGAAGGAGAAGCTTCTGGGCGGTCTCGTTAGGATCCATGTTGCATTCTTTGAGCATTGCGTGGATTTCCTCCTCACTGTGATTGCCGGTGATCTCCTTGATGTCCTGGATCGTCTTCCTCACACCGTTGGGGATTGAAACCCTAAGCCCGCCGCCACTCATGGTTGCAAACCCACAAAGCGTAAGGACCCAGAAGACTTGGGAGTGTATGTGAGAATGTGAGAACAGAGACTTCAGATGGAGGAAAAGGAATTGCTGGGTTGGGAAGATTGGGGCTTTTAGATGGCCGCTATACGAACATGGACTAAAATAAACAAAAAATTCTCGAAGGGTGAAAAATATAACCTTTTGGGGCTCTTCGAATTGATCTGCCACAAATAAGAGAAGAAGAAGAAAGAAAGGGGGGAAGAGTTGAGAGAGGGGGTGCGGAGGGAGGAGGGAGCTAAGTGCAAGTCCTTTTGGAGTGTAGGGCTTTTTGGTTTACCTGCCTTTTCCTGAATTTTAATTATTTCATTACGAAATTAAAAAATATATACACACTATATATTTACACCAAAAGCAAGTGGAATGTTATTTACTGGTATGATTTCGTGGTATTTTTTTTTTAACAAACGATATTATTTATATTAAAGAGAATGGATGAACTTGACTTCACGATGAGCTTGCAATAGTGTGATTTAAATTTGCTTTTAATGAGAATCGAACCAATTTATTTTTCTATCATTTAGTGTAAATATATAGTAGTATAAAAAGAACTAGAGAATAAATTGGTTTCGAATCGTCATTACGAGATTTGAGTCTAAAACTTTTCACTCACCTATAAAAATACCATTGGATCGTGTATTATGTACCAATTTTATTATTATTATTATGTGTTTTAGTCCATTTCCCAAATGGGGGAAATTTTTTTGTTCATCATTGTTAAGTGATAGTGATATTCACCACTTTATTTATCACCATTAGATGAGTTTAAATTTCGAGATTTGATTAAATCTAAATTCATCTAACGGTAATAAACAAGATAGTGAACAGTTACTTGAGCGTGGTGAACAAAAATGCACCCTAAATGGGGTGTGTTGTTTTTGCTTAGGGTTCATTTTATGGACCAAATGCAATCCTTTCTATGAATGCAGTGTGCACTTTTCAATGTGTGTGATCCCTAGCTCAACCATATATCATCCACTACCTTGACAATCAACTCTAATACATATCACCGTATAAATTTTTTCTTAACAAAGTGATATTTTAAATTACGTTGAAATAATTTCTTTTTTTAATCACAATAACTATACATTGAAAAAATTCAAATAGTACAACTCAAACACTAACAAGCCCAAACATGCAAAAATGAAAGGGGATAAAAGCCGCTCAAACAACTAAAAAACTCAAATCACTAAAATTACATATGATCTCATTTTCAAGTCCATAAAAACACATATTACTACCGTCGTAAACAACTCATAAATCTAAAAAAAAGTACCACTATCACTTCAGGGTCACCGTCAAAACCTACTGCATATAGTCATGAAGAAAATAAGAGAAAATTCGTTATACTATAACAACTTTGCATGTGGTCAAATATCCTAGTGAATTAGGTGTTGGATTTTATCTAAGGGTCTCAAGTTCAAAACTCCTCCCTCCCTTAAATTACTGTAATAGTTTCGGTTTCTCCCCTTCCCCTTATTATTGCAATGGTTTCTTCAATTTATAGATCAAACTACCAATATTAACACACACAACAAACTTCGTGAACAAAAGGGAAAATTTAAATAAAACAATAGGAACTATATTAGTGAAATTAGGCTCTTAATAAAATTGCAAAACATAATATTATTTTATATGGAGAAAAATATAAGATGAGCGTAAGAGGATTTGCTTAAAAAGTTTAATTAATTAGCTTATCCTATGACCAATTGAAGATAATGTAATATCCGAATATACTTGAGTAGTTAAAAAGGTACCATTCCCATGATGCGTGCGTATTCAAAACAATGGGAGGGCGTGTGATTAATAGGGTTTGGGTGGTCAAGAATATACGGCCACTATCACTATGTATCTATATGTCCTGTTATTATTAGCAAAGTTGATGTTTCTAAATCATGGCCATTACTACCTAATAAAGTCCTAAATTATGCAATAATGACATAACTTTTGTGATTTACTTTTTAAACTATATGATTAAAGGGTCGTTTCAAAGTGCTTTTAAAATTACTGAAAACGTTTTTGGTGAAAGTGTTTTCGGGTTCCAAAATCACTTTAAGTGCTTTTGTAGGATTCACTTGCATTTTACTAAGGATTGCTTTTAAAAGCACTTTCATCAAAACCGCTTTCAATCATTTTAAAGGCACTTTCAAACAAGTCATAATTTGATAAATGTTTGATTGACCAGTTGACTTCTTTAGTGTGTTTGACATGTATTCCTCTTTCATGTTTGTTTTAAGACAAATTGTTAATTGCCACTTAGTATCACAGTCTAATGATATCTTTTTTTATTTGTAAGTAAGAAGTCTTAGGTTCGATTCTCGCCAAAGACGATTTTGGAGCACATTATTGTTAGTTTATTGTCGGGCTAAGCCCAACCCTACCCGCTTAGTATAAATAATATCGTTTGTAAAAAAAAAAGACAAATGGTTAATTAGCCAAGCAATAATTTAAACTTACACCTCTTTGAGTACTAATTTTAACGGGAGATAACACTTTTCCTATTTTATACGTATTACAGAGAAAGTTTAAAAGGTTAAATGACTCTCGCACTTACATTTAGTAAACCCATAGAACACAATAAATAATAATCAAAATGATATTTTAGTAAACCCATAGAACTCAATAAATAATAATCAAAATGATTTAAATTTATTCTTCATTGTCCCACTTACCACTACAGACTATGATCCATTAATATTATTTTAAATTATTCTTGTATACAAGTATCAATTGTGATTTGTGGGTTGAGACAAAAATAAAGATAATAATTTTGTTTTAAAATAAGACAAATAAAGAAAATTGGGTGAAAGTATAATACCATCTCCAAAGAGATGTCAAATTTAAAACATCAAAATAATGTTTGATGCCTTATGTGGCAATTTGACATTTATACAATTTTTGCTCCACCTAATATGTTAATTAATAATATCATTTTATAATTTTTTTTTCTCTTTTTGTAGGGTCAAATTATTGAGATAATCAACCAAATACGTGAAACACATAATAACATTTATTATATATTGCATCACATTTTAAAAAAAATTATTAAATGGATTTGACACTTGCTGTCAAATTTGACAGCAGAACGACTTGCCTTCAAATGACTTAGCACCACATAGGAAACTGAAAGTTCAGTTGAAAAGAGTTTGCTGCCATTTTTTACTGTTATATATCTACGTGAGAGTTTTAACATTTCATTTGGAAATGTTCTAATTACTTAGAAATTAATTTAGGGAATTTTAACGAAAAACTCCATGTAATGTTAATTTTAAAGAAAAACCGCATTTTTACACTAAAAAGTCAATCATGGTACTATTTATTTTACCTTTTATTTTATTCTTATCGTTAAAAGTCAGAGTATTCAAACAATTTTTATTAGTTTTCCTATTAATTTAACCCAGTACAATATTACAAAATTGATCAGTATTTAACAACCTGAGGCCCAAACTCAAGGCCCAGGCCCAACCCTAGCCTTCAAACTCTGATCGCTTGCTTCCCCTTTGCTTTATAGATAATGAGCACATAGTGTGTTTTTTCACTTTTTGGTTCCTTGTTGGCTCCAAAAAACCAGAATTCGCTGGTAATTTCAGGATCTTCGACCACTCAAATCCCGACGTACATGGCTTCCAAGAAGAGTAACTATAACCCTCTCTCCGGCGATGGTGCTAGCCCCGGGTTCTTCCTCTCTCTCTCTCTCTCTCTCTCTCTCTCTCAGGGTTGTTTCATCTCCGACTGTGATAATAAGCTAATGGGTTGTATATTTTGTGTGTTCTTGTTTTGCAGAAAGATCTTCATCGGTGGTTTAGCCAAAGACACCACTTTGAGTAAGATTCCTTCTATTAACTTTTATGGGTTTTCTTTAGTTCCGCCATTTTATGGGGTTTTAGCTTTAATTAACAGTTTCTATCAAGATTATCTATCGAAATTTTGATGGGTTTTTTGAAAGTTATGATTTTTTGCTTTCTAGTATGATTTTAACTACAATGGGTAAGGATTTTGGTGAATTATGATGTTCAATGGACTTTGTTGACAGCTTGTATCCTTGTTTTGCTTTAAAATTTTGATGGGTTATCGTCGAATTTTGCTCATATCTACCTGCAATGTGTTTGTTGTATTATCTGGTTACAGATACCTTCGTTCAGTACTTTGAGAAGTATGGGGAGATAATTGACTCTGTGATCATGAAAGACCGCGAAACTGGTCGACCTAGGGGGTTCGGGTTCATCACCTATGAGGATCCTGCTGTTGTTGACCAATTAATTGAAGAGACTCATGTGATCAACGGAAAGCAGGTAAGCAGCATCCTCTTCCTTCTTTTGTTATGATTGGTTGTATAGAGAATTGTTTAGTTCACTTAAGTGTTGAATGCTTCATTGGTCTGTTTGATTGAGAATGAATGCAACGGACATTATATGGAATTGGTGTTCCTTTTAATATCCATAAAGATAAGGAATTGCTCCTTCTATTAGCAAATATATGTAGGCCTGTTCTGCAGTACAATGTCTAGATTCGATTAGTAAATATTGAGGTTATTTTTATCAAATTGTGACATTTGATATGAAGTTTGTATTCAGATTAAAGCTTCTTGACGTTTCCACTGTTAAATTGATTTCAATGTTCTTTTAGGAATTTCTTTTACATATTTTTGTGGTCAATTTCAACCAGGTTGAGATAAAGAGAACCATTCCAAAAGGTGCTGGTCAGGGAAATGATTTCAAAACAAAGAAAATTTTTGTTGGCGGGATTCCACCGACCTTTACTGAAGGTTTGTTGTAATTCTTTTTCTTTTGTGGGATGTTTACTAATGCTATGTTTTTCGTTGCACAACTGATGAATTGTTCGCTTCTAACTCAAATTGTCCATTTGAATATCAGATGAGTTCAAAAGCTTCTTTTCACAATTTGGTAAGGTGGTGGAGCATGAGATCATACGTGATCATGTCACTAAGCGCCCTCGAGGATTTGGATTTGTTGTATTTGACAGCAATCATGATGTTGATAATGCTCTCGCAAATGGAAATAGGATTGATATGGCAGGTACACAGGTGAGTTATTGGCAACAGTCATTCATGGTGTTGGGTATATATTATGGGCGTCTTATGTATAAAGAAATATTTGAAGGTTTTCCTTTAAAGTATTATCAGAATTGTGAGATTTTTGTTGTATACGTTTGTCATAGTTTCAGTCAACCTAGTTTTATCCAGATTTCATCATTAGTGGACTACTGGACTTGAATGCAGGGTTTTCTCCCTCTACATAAATCCAAGTCCTACAAAAAACTTGCTAAGTATAAAAGCCTAGGTTAACTCACTTCTTTATTGTAGGTTGAGATCAAGAAGGCTGAACCAAAGAAGGCCTCAAACCCAGCACGTGTTCCTGCATTTGGTACTGACTCTAGGGCACACCCTTACAATGATAGATTCAGTGCATTTGGCGACCCCATGAGTAGTTTTGGTCCTGGTGGTTATGGCCCTCCTCCTTATAGGTCACTTGGACGTTTTGGCAGTAGGTTTGGTGATTATGGTGGATATCCAGATAGTACTGATTTTGGAGGTGGTTTTAGAGGTGCCTTTTCTGGTTATCGTGGGGGGTCATCATTCGGCTATCCTAGTCGCTTTGGTTCCTATGGTGAAGGGCTTGGTGGGGGATATGATGGTAGTGGGTTAGGTGCATATGGGCATGAAGTTAGGGGCTATGGTGGTTACGATGGTTCAGGCTCTGGTGATGGCTATGATTCAGGTCCTGCTGCTACTTATGGTGGGCCTCGAGGCATGTATGGTAGTAGGGCAGGTTATGGTGGGAGTAGTCGTTACCATCCCTACGGAAGGTAGAATTATGCTTAAGCTTTCCAATAGGTGTTGCATGCAGGTTACTGCAAGAGGCTCTAAGCTAGGAGATCAAATCAACCATTAGTTTGTTCGATGGTTTACTCTATCGCACGGACAACCAAAGTTAGATCATCACTAATTTAGAGACTTCTGTCGTTTATCAGTTAGGCATCTTATTGTCGTCGTATGTTGGGATTTAGAAACTTACTGTTATGTTGTAACATATTTTTGGTAGAATCAGCCTAGACTAGAGTTATCTGCCTATTATCTTTCGTTGCATTGGTTTCTCTATAGTGTGCACAGTGTGAAATATTCAAATTAGTTTTAACTCTTTTGTTAATATACAGCTACTTTCCGTGAGTTGACATAACTAATATAAATATGTCTAGATATATTACAGGCCTGTTTTGAAGTGCTTTTTAAATAACTTTAAGCGCTTTTTGGTTACAAAAATTCCTTTCAGATTACCAAATGTTTGACAGAAAAAGTTGAAAGTGCTTCTTAAACATTTGAATGTACTCCAAAAAGAAGTGCTTTTACTGGAAGCGCTTATGAGCGTAAGTGTTTTTTAAAAGAAGCATTTCCAAACAGGCCAATGATTCGAGTGATATAAGATTTGGTTGAAATTATGTTGGTCTTGCTTCCCTTGCTAGCAAATAGGATAGGAGACAGTTTGAGTCTTGTGCTTGGTTAATGCAACTGCATTGTAGGTTTTCTATTTCTTTGTAAATCCTGTATGATTTGTATTTTCTCCAAATCATACAGGATTTACAAGAAATACCGAGTTTCTTTTTGGTTTCGAGCGGCATTCTAAAATAATCTAAATTACGGAGTGTGGGATCATGCTGGTTGAAATTGTACAAGATTCTCACTAAGATTGACACGTTGAATGAGAATGTATGTACCATCGAGGCTTGTGCCACATTGCCAGTGGACTTCTCTACAAATTGATCTGAGAATTAGTAAATATCATATACGAAAATTTTATTATGCTCCTGTGTACGACGTGCATTGGACAAATGGAAAATAATATCAGACCGGAACTTCTTACTCAGAATATTAAACCGGATTTGTATTTAGTCCGGCTTAAGGGTTGGACTAAAACACATTCGACGTAAATACAATTTTGTGAGCCATTGTTAGAATTAGTCCACTTCATTAAATTACGCCTAATGCTTGAGACTACGTAAGTTTATTTTTATATTTTTTTACCAAATTAATATCAAAAGCTCCAATAAATGTGGAACGAAAAATACCGAAACCAGATTACAAAATCTTAGTAAAATACAGGTTATGTAATCGCACACGTGTCACTTCTCGATACGTCACTCAATACGCCAGCCGTCCGCCTCGTGGCGGTTGCTTGTCCCTGGAAGTATTCTATTTTATTTTCTCTGTTTCCGGAAACATCCGATTTTTTATTTTTATTTATTTATTTATTTTTACAAGGAGACATAAACTTAAAGGATAAGAAAGATTATCATAGAATATCATGATCCTACGAGATCTCAGTTACATCTGTATTTAGCAACCGGTAATAAAAAGAAAGAGCTTGCTTAAAAATATTAAATTCAAATTACATGACAAATCCAAACGAGACGAGCCGTCAATAATTTTTTTTTTTTTTTTTTCACAATTAATATGATGAATTTCACAAGTTTAACAAAACTCTTTTTATTTTATACTTTGGACCCTACGGTTGGAAGCTAAACGGAAAGCATGTCCGACAGAGTAAATTACCGAAAGCACCCCTCGCTGATTCCAAAGTCCATTGAATTCAGCAGTGTCGTTTTCGTAATTTTACTATAAATACGGTGGCATAAAAGAGCCGAGTCATCTGGTTCGCTGCCACCTTCGATACCCTGCTCTGCTTTTTTCCATGCTCAAAAGATTGTTCCTTCTCCATTGCAATCGCCTTCTTCGATTCCAGAGGTGAACTTTTCGGGGTTTTTTCATGTTTTAATCTCAGACCCATATTTTTTTTGCACTATTTTCTCTTGGTGATGATAAATACTGTTGTTTTTGTTAAGATTTGGTTTATTTAAAGGTTGATTGTTTTTTCTAGTTGATGCAGAATACTTTCGTGTGATAATCTGTGGGTTTATGAGGCAATTGGGTTATTGATTTATTATTTTTCTGTGATATTGTATTGGAATCTGTTGATTGTGTTTGCTAATAGTGAGGTGGGGTGGCTGCCCGTCTGATCATGTTCGAGTGAGCATTTGATCGAATTCAACAATTTTAGATCATGGGTTTTAGGTTATATTCTTTGGTTTTAATACCGGAGGAAGAAATATATGGACTTTCTGCCATCTGTGTTTCGATTACGTGTGGGATCACTGTTTGGTTTTAATACCGGAGGAAGAAATATATGGACTTTCTGCCATCTGGGATCACTGTTTGGTTTTAATACCGGAGGAAGAAATATATTTTAGATCATATTATTTTTTTTTCGGGCTGGTAGTGTTTTGGAAATGAGGAATTCATTTGGATGGAAGTTGTTTAGGATTAATTCGGTTTTTTATTTGCAACTGTGGAAGTCGCAGAATCGGCTCGGTGGTTTGCTGAGAAGAAAGTTATGAAATGTAGCACTTCTCATTTGTGCATTCCATGTGGGTGACAACTTGCTCTTGTACGGTGGAATCAGATTTAGTTATATGTTGTGTACATGAGATATAGATGGAATGGTACTATAGTAGTGACACTAACTTTAGACATTGCAATCTTTTTTTTCGTCCACACAGATTAGTGGACGTCTGCAATTTTTTTCTAACAATAGAATTTATTTCCTTATTTAACTGCCTGTAGCTATTGATGATATTACTAATCAGTGTCATCTATATTAGGTAACTATTTGGTCTATTGAGGGAGGAGTTATTTGTTATTAATAAACATTTAGCGATGGAGGATTCTGAGAAAATTGTGTCGGTGCAAGACAACTTGGTTGCTGATGATCACTTGTCAGTTCTGAAAAGCTATGGAACATACGGCATTGTTGGCGCTGTTGTTGTTGCCGTACTTATACCTGCATTTCTGTCCACTGTGTTTGGGGGAAAGAAAAGGGGGAAGCAGAGAGGAGTTCCAGTTGAAGTTAGTGGTGAGGCAGGTTATGCAATGCGCAATGCTCGAGAAACTGAGTTGGTTGAAGTTCCTCAGAAAGGAGCCACAACCATGGCAGCCCTTTTTGAACAATCTTGTAAAAAGTACTTGCATAATCGATTCCTTGGAACAAGGAAGTTTATTGGAAGGGAATTTGTTACAGCTAGCGATGGAAGGAAGTTTGAGAAGCTTCACATGGGAGAGTATGAATGGCAATCTTATGGAGAAGTGTTTGATCGTGCTTGCAACTTTGCATCTGGGCTTATTAAGTTAGGTCATAATATGGATAGCCGTGCAGCAATTTTTTCAGAGACCCGTGCAGAGTGGTTTATAGCCTTTCAGGTACCTTTCATTATTTTTTTTCTTTGTCTGCCTTGAGGTGTCCGTTGTCGTTCTTGGAAATTTCTCTATTTTTTTGTCTAAGGACTTGCAAGTGCATGGCCAGTTCTAAAATTAGTTGGTTTTGATTCCAGGGATTCTTCCGGCAAAATATCACCGTTGTCACCATTTATGCTTCGCTAGGAGAGGATGCGTTAATTCACTCCCTCAATGAGGTGTGTGGCAAAATCCCTGCTTTTCTATTCTTTACGAGTTTATTAAATTTATTTAACCGGCTATAGTACTGTTTACCTATAATGACTGAAAATGGAGAACATGGATTGTCCTCATATAGAGCTTTTATACTTTGACAGACCCAAGTTTCGACATTGATCTGTGATTCCAAGCAGTTGAAGAAGTTGGCTGCTATAACCTCAAGCCTAAACACCATTCAAAATGTTATTTATTTTGAAGATGAGGGAAGTTCAGATGCTATTGTATCTGGGAGTATGGGCGATTTGAAAGTTGCATCCTTTTCTGAAGTTGAGAAGCTTGGACAAGAGAGTCGTGTTCCTCCAAGTTTACCTTCCAAGAATGATATTGCTGTTATTATGTATACAAGTGGAAGTACAGGTCTACCGAAGGTTTGTTTCGCTAGCCCTTCATTGCAAATTTATTGTTTTCTATTTGAGCAGTAAAGCTGAACCAGAATATGGTCTTGGAAATCTTTCCATTTGGCCATCTGTGAAAAACAATATTTATTAGTGTCTTCTTTTAAATTGTAGATTCCCAAAGTTTAAAAACTTGAGTACTTATTATGATCTAAGAATTTCTATCTGGCCATGTGGCATCATCGTTATTTGAATAACATAGTGTGCGATGTATCCGAACATGACTATTTATTTTCTAAAACCCAATGTTGTTTATTTTCCTTTAACACGATCTGGTGTGTAATGATATAGGGAGTCATGATAACTCATGGCAACGTTGTAGCCACTACTGCAGCGGTTATGACAGTGGTTCCGAGTCTGGGTAGTGCTGATGTCTACCTGGCATACTTGCCCTTGGCTCACGTTTTCGAATTGGCAGCTGAGGTATGCTTGTTTTCGTATTTGTATTACATTACTACTGTACAAATGTTAAATTGTAATCATGTTGTGGTTGTCCAGTCTGTGATGCTGGCTGCAGGCTGTTCAATTGGTTATGGTTCAGCATTGACTTTAACAGACACTTCAAATAAAGTTAAAAAAGGAACCAAGGGAGATGCAACTATGTTACAGCCAACCATCATGACAGCAGTTCCTGCTATTTTAGATCGTGTTCGAGATGGAGTTCTGAAAAAGGTGAAGTTGATATTATTCACCTTGTATGCGGTTGTATAGCATCTGTTATTCACTTATATAGATTCAGTCACAAAGGTTGAGCTTGCACTAATCACTACGGTGTATTACAGGTTGATGAGAAGGGGGGCTTTGCTAAGAATCTTTTTAATCTTGGGTTTAGACGGCGACTGGCGGCTGTAGAAGGAAGCTGGTTTGGGGCTTGGGGTTTGGAAAGGATGTTGTGGGATGTCGTTGTCTTCAAAAAAATACGCTCATTACTTGGAGGACGCATTCGTTTTATGCTCTGTGGTGGTGCTCCTCTGTCTGGTGATTCACAGCGATTCATCAATATTTGCATGGGGTAATTGCTCTCTCATCTTGAGATAACCAGATAGTTGGAAGAATAACCTATTTTCATTTTATTTTTCCTTCGAGATAACCAGATATCTGATCAAGGAAAATGAAATTTCATGGCAGGAAGTGCTTTATATTCTTATTCTAATATTGGTAACAGAACACGATACGTCCAATGGGTTAACATCCCTTTGTTTACAACAGTTAGAATCAACATTGATCTTTCTACCGTGTTAGGATTAGTATCTATACCTATTCTTTTAGTTTTATCAATGTGCGGTCAGTATTGTCACAAAGGTTCTGTTGATTCTTATCGTGCATGCAACGTATTTAATTTGCATGCCATTGTTTTTTAACAGGGCTCCTATTGGGCAAGGATATGGTTTGACAGAAACATTTGCTGGAGCTACGTTTTCCGAGGCGGATGACACAACTGTGGGCCGTGTTGGTCCTCCCCTTCCTTGTGGATACATTAAGGTACTAATTCCTGGAAAAAAAATTGCTGGAAGTTTATGATCAGAGCAGGATGTTTAACAGGAGAGAATTTACCGTGTGTCATGGCCAGCACATTTTTCAGTTATTCTAGCTTTTGTTCTCAGAGTACCGCTTCCTTTTTCTTACAGGATGATATATCATCGTATATTATGTGAGATGTACCAGGCAGGATTTTGAAGAGTTCAATATGACAGTTATCCTTATTTGATAATGCAGCTTGTTTCTTGGAAAGAAGGAGGATACTTGTCATCTGACAAGCCTATGCCTCGTGGGGAGATTGTAGTCGGGGGATACAGTGTAACTGCTGGTTACTTTAAGAACCAAGAAAAGACTGATGAGGTGTTTAAGGTAAAATTCTAAAGATCCTGTACGTCTTTTTGTGTGTGTACCTGTTTTGCTTCATGATCGTCACTCCTCACAGGCCCTAATGATTAGTGACTCGTTACATGCTGCAGGTTGATGAGAAGGGCATGCGTTGGTTTTATACTGGTGACATTGGAATGTTTCATCCTGATGGATGCCTTGAAATTATTGATAGGAAGAAGGATATCGTTAAACTCCAGCATGGAGAGTACATTTCCCTTGGAAAGGTGCCTTTATAAGTTTCGTACTACTTCTGATAAATTATGTTTCCAAATGAACGCTCCCAATAAATTTTCTTCTCCGGAGTACTAATTAAATTCGTCACTGACCTGCTGCAGGTTGAAGCAGCATTAGCATCAAGTAATTATGTGGACAACATCATGGCATATGCAGATCCCTCACACAACTATTGCGTAGCTCTAATTGTCCCTGCATGTCAGGCCCTCGAGAAGTGGGCACAGGAAGCCGGTGTCCAGTATAATGATTTTCCCGAGCTGTGTGAAAAAGCTGAAACAGTCAGTGAGGTTCAGCAATCCCTCTCCAAGGTCAGTCCATCCATCCTTATAACCTAGTAGACGATTGGGCAAGAGTTGAATCCTTTCGTTCCATAAATAAATTTCTAGCATCTTTACAGGTAGCAAAAGCATCGAAATTGGATAAGTTCGAACTTCCTGCCAAGATTCGGTTGCTGCCTGAGCCTTGGACACCCGAGTCCGGATTGGTTACTGCTGCTATGAAGATTAAGAGAGAACAGATCAAGGCCAAGTTCAAAAATGAGCTCAACAAGTTGTATGCTTGAACACGAACGGCTAATGTCTCTTTTACTCTGCTGTGCTACATTGTTCTTGATTTTTAGATATTTTTCGGTTTAAATTTTTCGATATTCCAGTGATTCAGTGCTGCTATTGCAGATGTTTAGTTTGATGCGTGTATGTGGTTAAAACCTTGATGGGCAAGGAATAGGTATAGCATGTTTCACGTGATAGTTAGAAAGCATAATGCTCTAGCACAACTTTACGTAACTGTGTTCGAAAACAGTATTACAACACAAACACGAGACCACGAATCTGTATGGTATGTTAACAACTTTGTTAAGTGGTCGTTACAACACGAATCGTTGTCATGTATACAATTCAATGAATCTCCAATCAGGAGGATGATTTGAGTTGTGTTTGTATGAGAAGCTAATGACAGGTATAATTCGTCCTCTAAGCGTGTCCGGCGGTGTGCTTACCGGGAGTTCATATCTCAGTAAGTTTCTGAATGACGGTATATGCTCCTTGTCTGCAGAGTTATAATCTGTACCCGTCTTGTGTCACGGTGCCATGCGAATGATGTTCATGCAGAGGTTTCAGTAACTACTTCGGCTCAGTAGGGCTAAGTGACGTTTTCGGTTGGTAGCGATGGCCGTAAGACGAGATACAGAGCAGGGCCTACGAGTGGCACCAACGATAAGAACAGAAGCCAAGAACCATCGTCGAACCTGCGAAAAGAAATGGAAGCGTTTGAATATTTTGCAGCAAATGAACTCTCCCTAGAGGGATTCAGAGCTTGAACTTAAGAGAAATGTACACATCAACAAAACAGTCACCATTTCCGGGCAGTCATATCGCTGTAGACCCAAAACGGAGCAAATGCAGATAGCAGGGTGAAATCAAGGCTCGTCGCGTGGATCTATATATACAAGGTTCCAGTGTCGTACGCTTCAGTACAGATTTCATGCTGTGGGATTGTATCATAGCCGTTTGTTTCGAACGCGAGGGACTACAGAAATGGTTGTGAAGTATATGCGTTGATGGTTTGAGTAACTTACAAATTTACTCTCATTGAAGTACTGGTAATATTCCTTCCAGTCAGCCCCAGCTGCTAGACCCGCAGAGACGATTAAACCTAGTCCTGCAGCAAGTGATATCTGACGCGTAATGGAGTTACATTTTACAAAACATATCGAAAAATCAATGTTACTACGACTATGTTTCAACTATTTACGCGAAAATATTCAGATTGTCACTTCAATGATCGTCATTTATCGATGAGTAAATACAAGTTTACAACATAAAAGGAGGGAGAAACACAGGAAATATCAAATTGTAAGATCGGTTGAATGTTTCCGTCTGATGCTAAACGGTATCTTCCAGAAAGTTGAGTGTGAACAGGAAGTGAAAAGTTTCTTTCCCAAGCAGTTAATTTGGATCCAAGAAAGTTGAGAGGCCTTCTTGTGAGCTCACTTTCATCGACAGGAGGTGGCGGTGGTCTCCACAGTACAAAATAGGGAAGAAGAGCGTACGGCCCGCCAAAGCATGAAAGTATCAAGAAAGGCCAGACAGGAACTTTGCTTCTTGAGCTGCACATTATAGGATAACAAACAATTAACAACAAAGTCTTTTCCCATTAAGTGGTATCGGCTATATAAATCCTAGAACGTTATTGCGCTCGGTACTATGTCACATCTTCCGTTATATCCAAGTACTCTAAGTCTTTTCTTATAGTCTATTCTCAAGTCTTCCTAGGTCTTCTTTTACCTCTTCGACCTTGAACTTCTATCCCGTAATCGCATATTTTAACTGGAGCGTCAGTAGGCCTTCGTTTCACATGTCCACATCACCGTAACCCATTTTCTCTCATCTTTCCTTTAATTTCGGCTACTCCTATTTTACCTCGGATATCCTCATTCATAATCTTATCATTTCTCGTGTGCCCACACATCCAACGAAGCATTCTCATCTCCGCTACACCCATTTTATGTACGTGTTGATGTTTCACCATCTAACATTCCGTGCCATAAAGCATTGCCGACCTATAAAATTTTCCCTTGAGCTTCAGTAGCATACGATAGTCACACAACACGCTGGATGCACGCTTTCACTTCATTCATCCAACTTGTATTCTATGGTTGAGGTCTCCATCTAATTCTCCGTTCTTTTGCAAGATAGATCCTAAATAGCGAAAGCAGTCACTCTTTGGTACTTCCTGGTCTCCAATCCTCATCCCTAACTCATTTGAGCCTCTGGTTGAACTAAACATGCACTCCATATACTCCGTCTTTGACCGACTTAGCTGAAGACCTTTGGATTCCAACATTTCTCTCCAAAGGTTAAACTTCACATTTACTCATTCCTGAATTTCATCTATCAACACTATATCGTCTGCGAAAAGCATATACCAAAGAATATCATCTTGAATTTGTCCCGTTAACTCATCCATTACCAATGCAAAAAGGTAAGGACTTAAAGATAAGCCTTGATGTAACCCTACAGTTATGGAGAAACTTTTGGTTTGTTCCTCATGGGTTCTTACGACAATCCTTGCTCTATCATACATATCCTCTATGGCTTTGATATATGCTACTCGAAAAAAGCTTTCCCAGCAGACTCTGACTTGGTCTTCGAATGGTAAGTTTAAGCCCGTTCCCAGCTTTTGCCTCACTCTCAGGTTGGCCCTTCTACTTGGCTAAATTAGTATTGCACTCATGCAATGGTTTTAAGAAGAGACGTGAACTCTTAGGTAGCTCAAGCCAAGAGGCATCATTCGTTGTGTTACATCAAAAGCTTTTTAAGGAGAAAGTTATTTGACTCACTGATAACTATCCACTATAATCCTTCCGAGTAAATAAATAGAATCGCAAACCAAAAAGAAAAAAATGGGGGGGGGGACAAGAAACACTCAAGATGATGGAAGAAACCCATTATGTACCAAATGGACACAAGCACTTCATTCATTCTAAAAGCGTCATCTCCCTTCAAATTCAAGAATTTCTTCAAGAAATACATGTCCCTTGACTGAAAGAACCAAGTTAAAAGACCGTACGTTAAGAATGTGAAATGTAGGATAATCCAAGAGCCTAGTTTGCAGACATTGCAAAGATCAATTGATTGAACTATCATTTTGAACTATCATACATTTCAGGATGGCCATTTAACCAAGAAATCCTCAAATAACATCATAGCTAGGGATTATTCCTTCAATTCGAAAGCAACATCCTTTAGCAGTTTCACTTGTTGCTATTGATAGTGTCTTTCGACAGAAGTAACCATTTCAGTACGAAACAATGAAATTAAACCTTCCAGATGCAGTTTAGTGAACCCAAACACAAACACAAATGTAAAAGAATAACAGCATGATTGCAATCAAATGTCCTTGCTTCTAGGCTCTAGCAAACACCGCAACTACTTCAACAAACCAAATTGAATCCTGCCTAATTAATTTCGGTCCTGTTTACAAATGCTTTTAGAATAGCTAAAAACACTTTCAGATACCAAAAATGCTTCATGACAATTAAACATGCTTATGGGTTAGAAAGAAAAGCACTTTGAAAGTAGCACTTCAACTACTTTTCCAGCAAGCACTTTCAATTTTTTTCTTCTAAAAGTTCAAAGAAGCACTTCAAAACAGGCTATGGAGATCTCCAGTGGAGTCCCTATATGGGGACAATCACCGTATAAAATGAGTATAAAACAAATATAGAGACAAAATGAATCTCCAATGGATCGGAAAGTGAGTCCCTAAAGTATAGGGACTTGCCAGATACTTGGTGTATGTACCCCCATATAGAGACTCTATAGGGACTCAAATGATGGACCTAATAGGACAATTTAAGTGGAAAAGTAAGTGTGGATCCCAGTCACATGACCTTATTTTTTTTCAACCGTTTAAAATAGAAGGTCTAGATTGATTTCTTGCTTTTTAAATTTTATTACCATTGAAAGATCAACGGTTCCAATTAAATAACTGTTTCAATTTAGGTTACTTTCTCATGTTGGTTTTCAATTTTGTTTTTTCTCTTTTCATATTGCTTCTGTTAAAAGATTAATAGTTTCAATTTGAGTTACTCTCTCATATTGTTCTCTCATCATTCCTATAAATACCAAATTATCCAACCAAAACTCACTACAACTTCATCTCTTATTCTCAGTTCACTCATAATCAATTCACTCAATCTAGTTACATTTTTGTGAAGAAAAAAATTGGTGTCCAAATTTGAATTTTTTTGCTTAAAATGTTCACAAAAATATTTTTCGAGATCATAATGTTAAATAAATAAAAAAAATGTGCATCTAATCAAATTATCAAATAAAATTGTAAAAACCTTAAATGTATGGATTCTACTATAAGAACTCTCCTATTGGAGGCAATATTCCTTTAGGGACATAAAAATTCTTTTTAAGTCCTGAAATGAGTACTAAAAAATGGTGGTGAGAGTCCCTAAATAGGGACTCCCATTAGAGATACTCTAACAAAAGCACTTTTATGATTTCATCACTTAAAACGTGAATTGCACGATATCGGAGTCTGATTTGGAGAAAGAGTGAGCATATAGAACATGAGTGCCCCCATAACACAAACAGCAAAATTGAAGTCGTCCAGTTCTTCCCAGCACAGCCATTTTCCCCCTCATTCAAAACTGAAGCTTTTGGTTTCTTACCATTCAAGGTACTTTGACAAATTTGGAGACGACTCTTCTGCTTCTGAGATGTAAAGATTGAAGTTTGAGTAAATTGTAGCAATAGTCCATTAACTTTAACTCAATTGGAGTAATGATCCCTTAACTAAAAATTCATTACCATTGGTCCCTCAACTCATCAAAACGTGCAGTTATGATCCTTCAACTAAAAATCTATTACCATTGGTCCCTTAACTTTATTTAATCCAATTGGAGAAATGATCCCTCAACTTTAACCCAATTGTAGCCATGGTCATTTAAACATAACTAATTTTGACAAAATTTCGACAAAGTTGACAAAAATGAGCATAGCTACACGTTTTGATGAATTGAGGGACTCTAATTGTAGCAATGGTCCTTCTGACATAACTTATTTTGACAAAATTTTAACACGAAAAGGACCATAACTACACATTTTGATGAGTTGAGGGATCAATGATAATGGATTTTTAGTTGAGAGGTCATTGCTCCAATTTAATTAAAATTGAAGGATCATTGCTACAATTTACTCTTGAAGTTTAGCAAAACTGGGTTGCAGAAAAGATTGAAACTTTGAGCTTTTTTTAGAATGTGAACTTCTGGGATTTTAGTGGTGAATTTCTGAGCGTTGGGTTTTTGAGTGGAAATGATGGGAAGTTGCAGGAGAAGAAGGTGGCATTAGCCAACAACATATTTGGAAGATTGATAAAGTTATAGGATTTTGACATTCCTTATTCAAGCTCTTTGCTTTTTAGTTAGCTGAGTCCATCAAAATGATAAGAGTTCCATTGCATTTGTTGGCACATGTCACCTCTTGGTTACGTTTTAATGTTGGACTTGTTCATAATTTTTGAAATGTCATATGAACTTGTTCATAATTTTCAATTTGTCATATAAACTAAAATTTTAAGCAATATGTGATACCAACTTTACAAAATCTTTAATTTGTCATCTCAATCTAACTTTGTTAAGTTTTCCATCAAATATAAGTCATGTGTGGGCACATGAATTGTGTTTGGGGTTATTTAGGTCATTTTAACATCTTTTCACAAGTTTTTAACTTTTCTTTAGTTCAAACACCTAAATTTTTAGTGCATATGCATCTACAACTCCATATATGGCACAAAACATCAACATGTTTCTCATTTATAGAGCCCATGACATGCTAAAATGTGAACTCCCACTTGTGTATCATTACATATTTGGAATAAACAGAAGAGAGTGCATTGCATGATCATTTTATGTTATCATATAAAAAATATTGTTCCATTGCCTGAGAAACCCTATATTTTTTTTGTCGAATACAACTTAATAAAAGGGCAGTAAGGTATTAAAATGACCGAAATAACCCTAAACACAAGTCACGTGCGAGGCAAATGACTTATATTAGATGGAAAACTTAACGGAGTTAGGGAGATATGACAAATTAATGATTTCAAAAAGTTGGTATCACAAATTGCTTAAAATTTTAGTTTATATGACAAATTGAAAATGCGTACAATTTCATATGACATTTCAAAAAGATTTCCTATAGGAATTGAATCGTAATTCTGATGAGTTTGTAACTGTTAAATTGTGACATTTTCTTTTGCGTGTCTCACATCTTGATTATGTTTTGGCATATTTGTCTTATGTACGCTTTTCATTGTTCTTAGAGCATCTCCAGCGGTAGGGCAATTGGATTAAAGAGCCTTTGGGCTGCAGAAAACAGCTCTAGCAGTTCGAAAACAAGGGGGCAATTGGGCAAAGGGCTTATGCCCTTGCAATTCTTACCAACGGGGTTTGAACCTACACAGTAATATAAGGGCAACACTCCTCTTTATCATTGTGGTAAAGGGCCACTTGCAACAATAATTATGTAATTGAAGTATCGATAATAGTAACAGTACGAACATATTGAAGCATCCACTCATGTAAACTTTCTACCCAAAAA